GTTGAAATGAAAAGAGCAAAATACTGGATAGTATGTATATCAAACAATAGAATGTATTTCAAGAATAGTATGTATATCAAGGTACCTTTTGTGTAAGAACATAGAGTTGGGGAAATAATAGGTTTGTATTTATGTTTGCATGAAGAAACTTTAGAAAAGACACAAAAACACAGTAAGTATGAGACACGGGAGCAGGGGTAGAAGCAAGACTGTACACTGGTTTATAATGCTTGATTTTTCAACCATTGTAAACATTTTGTTCAGAAACATTTGCAGATGGAGTGGGGGGTGCGGTGGGAGGGATGGGGTGACTGGGTGATAAACATTGGGGAGCGTATGTGCTCTGGTAAGCGCTGTGAATTGTGCAAGACTGTTGAATCTCAGATCTGTACCTCTGAAACAAATAATGCAATATATGTTAAGAAAAAAAAAGAAGAAGAAGGTAGCGGGAGGGGAAGAATGAAGCGGGGGAAATCGGAGGGATAGACGAACCATGAGAGACGATGGACTCTGAAAAGCAAACTGAGGGTTCTAGAGGGGAGGGGGGTGGGAGGATGGGTTAGCCTGGTGGTGGGTATTGAGGAGGGCACATTCTGCATGGAGCACTGGGTGTTGTGCACAAACAATGAATCATGGAACACTTCATCTAAAACTAATGATGTAATGTATGGGGATTAACATAAAAATTAAAAAAATTAAAAAAAAAAAAAGAAACATTTGCAGATATTGTTACCCAGCAGAATACATTGTTAGGGCAGAATAATACGAAGGCCACATAGGGGATCATGTCAGCAAAGATTTTGAAAGCATAAGGAGGACTTCTTGGAGTGGTGCCATATGAGCTGGCTGTTCTCAGAGATCAATCTAGAAAGGTGAAGAATTAGCATAGAATCTTCTAGGTGTTAGGATCTATATACACAAAAGCCCAGGGGTATGAAACCTCATTGAGTATTTGGAAACGTTTCTCCCCAGGACACTTTCTCAAAGTCACTAAGAAAATAATGCGCTGAGATGCACTTTTGTCTCTGCGGCTGTCGCAAAATAAGTCTGGTTTTTCAGTCTTTGCTCCACGTAAAATATCATCTACGATGCTGCTGATGTACTGTTGATACCCCATCCTCAGGGGTGTCAGATCTCCTCCATTGCTCATCTTTGAGAAAAGTCGTCAGGTAAGTGTGAAGTTACTTACGCCATGAAAATTGTAATCCTAATCCTTTCTAGGACAGCACTTAACAGAAAAGTCAGATAATTAAACCTGATTTTTAACCTCTTTAACTTTAGTCAGAAATAGGTCTGTTGTGACTAAGGGACTCAAGATTGTGTAGTAATTTCCTTAAACGTTGAAGTCATAAAAGCGTGTGCCTCCCTTGTATTTCTTATCATTTCATATCTCCATTTGTATCTTGTTATCCTTTCCACCGAACATGGACCATGAGAAAAGCGGTTGAATAGTAGAGTAGGTGATTCCTGATGACAGGATAATGGAAAGTCAACTTTGTTTTGACCAAACCTCGTGAAGTTGCTCAATAATCCTAAAATGACTCATTTTAGTACTTTAAAATCACAATAATCCTGTTGCCTTGAAAACATAGCTTTAGGGAAGTGAATCTAATTATGTTAAAACCCATCTCTCTCTCTCTTTCTCTCTCACACACACACACACACAGACACACACACACACCCCATTTATACAGAGAACAAAAAAAGCCTTGAAGAAAATATAACAAATGTTTACATGGATGGGATTCAGATGGTAGGACCATGGATGGTTTCTCTTTTCCTTTAACTTTTTCTGTATTTCCCAAATTTGATTTAATGAGCATGAATTACTTTTATAGTAAAAACAGAAAAGAAAACCAACCAAAGCACACATTCAAAAGCGGAGAGTTTGGTGGCCCAAGGCCAAGTGTGCAGCTCATCTCTTAGTTCATCAGGCAGGAAGCCCCGAGGGCATTTGCTGTGGCTACTCCTTAGCTTCATTGTCAGGTACTTTCTCATGGCCCCTGAAGCCTTCACACAGTCAGCTCTGGGGAAAGAAGAATGGATGCCCGCGATTCCTTCTACGGGTTAACCCAAAGCGCCATGACCCTTGGTCCCTCGTGCTGTCACTCCAAGTTTGAAATTTAGAATTCTTAGACACCTTGAAGTTCCTTGCCAGAACATGGCGGCATGGGGAGAGCTCGTCTATGCTTTGGCCCTCATCCTGTATCCCCTTTCTCTTCCCACTCTTCCTGCAGCAGCAAAGATCCCTTGCATATGCATATGAACTCCCCAGCCGGTGTATCCAAGCTCCCCCCCCCCAACTCCGCACCCCCCATTCCCCCCACCTCAAAACTCACTCTTCATTGACTCCTTTTTTTTTTTTTAAAGATTTTATTTATTTATTCATGAGAGACAGAGAGAGAGAGAGAGAGAGGCAGAGGGAGAAGCAGGCTCCCAAGGAGCAGAGAGCCCGATGCGGGACTCGATCCCAGGACCCTGGGATCATGACCTGAGCCGAAGGCAGACGCTTAACCATCTGAGCCACCCAGGCGCCCTTCATTGACTCCTTAAGCCTCAGGTGCACATACCAGCATCGGGGTCACCCTTAGAAGGACTGACCTGGGAAATATCTTCTTTGGGCTTGGAGGCAAGTTTGACAATGTTTGGGCAGAAAATTCTGGAGTCCCATGGAAAAAACAGAAGTGATGCCAAACAGTCCACTCCTAACTCAATCTCTGTGGGTCCTCCTCTAGATGGCTTGGAGAAATTCAGGGTCAAGGTCATTACTTATTAACTGCCAGTGCTGCTAGGAGGCAGAATGGTTGATTTCATGACTTCTAAAGGTTATTTATGCCACCTTAGACTCCTCTGCTGAACAGAGTATTGGGGGAGCTCAGTAAACCGTGGTCTATACCCCAACCCTCAGTGCCCTTTGGCCAGCTTCTGATGTGAAGCAAAGTGCCCTCTGTTCCTCAAAGCTCTCTGCTCTGTTGGGCATGAGGACCAAAGGGGAAGATCTTTAAAGGCAGAGTATATCAGCAGGCATTGTTAGTTTCCCTGAATTGGTCATAAATCGCCTTTCCAGATACCAAGGCTGGAAGGCAGAGGAGGAATATGAGGAGATAGTTAAAGATAATGAAGGACTGAAGAAGGACCACCAGGCATTCTATCTCTGCACCTGTAGTTCAGGTGCAGTCAGTTCTGTTGGGAGGTATCACCCAAAGCCTTCTGACTCTTGTCCGATGGTATGGGCCCAACCATGAGAGAGGGCAGCCCTGAAGGCCATGAGTTCAGAACATCAGAATGGGAAGGGTTGTAGGAGAGGCCTAGAAGCTGAGTGTGACTCAGCCTCAAGTGCTGCTACAGTCAATTCTATCCCCTACTCAGATGTGTGCTCCATGTGATCTCAGCCAGTAATGGAGTAAGGACCAGACATGAAAATTCCAGAGAGGGGTTTATATACACGCACCTCAATCCTTAGATCAAGCCCCACCTTGCAGAAGAAAATGTTTTAGGGTAGGGTAGTTCGTGAGATGTCACGGAAAGTCCATAACACTTGCCCTTTCTCTGAAGTCTACTTTAAAAAAAAGTCTACGGGCGCCTGGGTGGCTCAGTTGGTTAAGCGACTGCCTTCGGCTCAGGTCATGATCCCAGGGTCCTGGGATCAAGTCCCCCATCAGGCTCCCTGCTCTGCGAGGAGCCTGCTTCTCCTTCTCCCACTCCCCCTGCTTGTGTTCCCTCTCTTGCTGTGTCTCTCTCTGTCAAATAAATAAAATCTTAAAAAAAAAATAAAAATTAAAATTAAAGTCTACTACAAAACAACAACAACAACAACAACAAACCACTTAGAATTAAATACATTACAGGGGCCCCTGGGTGGCTCAGTCCTTTAAGGGTCTGCCTTCAGCTCAGGTCATGATCTCGGGGTCTTGGGATCAAGCCTGCTCAGTGGAGAGTCTGTTTCTCTCTCTGCCCCTCCTCCCCCTGCTCGTGCGCTCTCTTTCTCTCAAATAAGTAAATAAAATCTTTTTTTTTTTTTTTAAGATTTTATTCATTTATTTTGACAGAGAGAGACACAGCGAGAGAGGGAACACAAGCAGGGAGAGTGGGAGAGGGAGAAGCAGGCTCTCCGCCTAGCAGGGAGCCCGATGCGGGGCTCGATCCCAGGACCCTGGGATCATGACCTGAGCCGAAGGCAGACGCTTAACGACTGAGCCACCCAGGCGCCCCCCCCCCTTTTTTTTAAGACTATTTATTTGAGAGAGAGAGAGAGAAACAGCATGAGAGGGGAGAGGGTCAGAGGGAGAAGCAGGCTCCCCGCTGAGCTGAGAGCCTGATGTGGGACTCGATCCCAGGACTCCGGGATCGTGACCTGAGCCTAAGGCAGTCGCTTAACCAACTGAGCCACCCAGGTGCCCAGTAAATAAAATCTTAAAAACAACAACAACAACAGGTAATAACACCCATTCAGTGAGCACCTGCTATTTGCCAAGCATTGTGTTCGGTGCTTTATGTGCATTATCTTGTTTAATCCTCACTATACCCTTGAAAATAACTAATTTTTATCTTCAGTATAAAACTGAGGAATCTGAAACCTAGAGATGTTTAAAAAAACTTGTTTCAAAAGAAAAATAACTTGTTTCAGGTCACATACCTGGTAAGTGGAAAAGCCAAGATGATGGTGGTGACCATGATGGTAAGGGTGGTGATGATGAAGGCAGCTAACATTAGTTGTGAATATATTACGTGCCAGCCAATGCACAGAGTGAGCTATATTCATTAAGTCATTCAGTTATCACAACTGCCTTTTTTTTTTTAAAGATTTTATATATTTATTTAAGAGAGAGAGAGAGCACAAGTTGGGGTAGGGAGGGGGGCAAAGAGAGGAAGAGAGTCCTCGAGCAGACACCCGGCTGAGCAGGGAGCCTGATGCTCAGCTTCAGGTGTTGTTGTTGGTTTTTTTTAATTAATTAATTTATTTGAGAGAGAGTGTGAGTAAGAGAAGAGGCAGAGGGAGAGGGAGAGAATCCCCAAGCAGACTCCCTGTGGAGTGGGGAGCCCAACACAGGGCTCCATCCCAGGACCTTGAGCCGAAATCAAAAGTTGGTCATTCAACCCACTGAGCCACCCAGGTACCTCTCAACTGCCTCTTCTGATTGGTATTCTCACCAACTCCATTTCTTTTTTTTTTTTTTTAAGATTTTATTTATTTGAGAGAGAGAGAATGAGAGAGAACACATGAGAGGGGATAGGGTCAGAGGGCAAAGCAGACTCCCCGCCGAGCAGGGAGCCCGATGCGGGACTCGATCCAGGGACTCCAGGATCACGACCTGAGCCGAAGGCAGTCTCCCAACCAACTGAGCCACCCAGGCGCCCTCACCAACTCCATTATAAAGATGAGGAAACTCATTCACTCTTGGTCTGCTGGTTCCAAAACACTGACTCTACTAGTAGCCATTGCTGCTTTTGATCTTGCCTCTCCACCCACTAGGGCCTGACATTCCACTCCCACTCCTCCTATTGCATGTTGCTGAATGCATTTGAGATCCAGCTGCTTCCTAAAACGTTAACCTTGGAGCTGGCCTATCGATTCTTGGAAGACGATACATGGCAAAGCCTTAGCAGGCAGGTGTCTGGTCGACCAGTGCACTTACCTTAAATCTGGCACATTTTGTGTTTTCAGGCCTTGAAAATACACTTCTTACAAGTTTCATGCTAATTACCCTCAAGAGCTGACACATAGCCAGAAAAACAGCCTCAGCAAAAACTTTCTCAATCTTACCACCAGGAAGCACTTGTATTTTGCTGACCACAATCTTAGAGAAACTTCCAGCCGGTCACATGAGCAAGTCTGCTCTCACACCAATATGGCAAATCTGGTTTCTGTCCAATCGTGCTGATGCCACAGATCCTTTTTTGAGACCGTGCCTGCCCCATTGCCTCAGGTGCAAGTTCAAGGTTGGAGAGACAAGCGGAGGGATGAGCACAAAACTTTCACCTTCCCACTTTCTCCTTATCAGCCTATGCAATGTAATTTCCCTCAAAGAAAGGGAATAAAACTCCCAACATCTCAGAAGCCCATTGTCTTCTCTTAACTTCTCTTAGAGAAACATTTCTCTCACCTCATTCTTGTCTCTGTCTTCGGAAGGTAGTTCTGCTTGGCTGAGGCTGTCTTGTGGATTCACTGCCCAGGCCCCCTCTCCCTCTGCATCCAGAGTCTGCACATTAGAAGGCAGGGGAGGGGAGGCTGAGTATAGTAGTTAAGGGTGCAGACTCAGGCTGCCTGGGATCAAACCCAGCTCTGACACGTTTGCATTTAAACTTTGGCGCTCAGCCCCCTCTCTGCCTTGACTTCCTCATCTGTAAAATGGGGGACGATAACGGCCTTCTGCCTTACAGTGCTGAAGATCAAGTGAGGTAATGTATATCAAGCATACAGCACTGGTCAATGGGCACTAGCCATTATCATCTAGTGGGCATGAGAGCAGGGACCCCCCCCCCTTTTTTTTTTATCACATTGTATCCCTAGTAGCTACCATAATGCTTGGCACATGGTAAGCACCCATCCTGAAATATTTGATCGACATTAAGCGACTGTGTGAGGACCTTGAGTGACATGAGTCCTTGCTGGGATCCTCCTTCCCTGCCTGGAGTCTGTGTTGAAAGGAGAGCCCTACCACGTTGGTCACAGTGTGATTCCTGGAGCCAGGTGGGTAGAAGGGTGTCGATCTGAGTAATATGTGCACCATCAGTGGCAAGAGGAAGGGAAGCCTTTGTGTAACATAAGGGAGAGAAGTCATTTCATTGGGGCTCCCGCAGCATTGTTATTTTGACTTTCATTTATTTACACGGATTCTCTGATGACTGCACATGAATAGATACTGCCAAGTCAGAGTCTCTGACCTCTGTGGTGGAGGCTAACTTGCACAAACCCTCGTGGACGTACCCTGGGGAATGAGACTACTTTGCGGAATCCTTTGGCAGCAGCTCTGGACAAAGGATTCTTTCTTGTTCCAAGCTGTGGCATGTGACTGTGGGTTCGGAGCTGGAAAGGGAGAATCAGATGAAATAGTACATGGTGAATGAACCAGTCATTTTAATTATTAAACATTGTTTATTGCAGCTTTTGTTGGTTTAAGACCATGAAAGTCCAAAAACCCAGCATGATTGGGACCTTAACTCTGTATGATTCTCAGACTTGTCCAGACATTTGGACAGTATTCTACGGATAATGTGTAATTATTTTCCTTTCAGACTTCTGAGGTATCGTCCGGGTTTTGTGCTTCTATCTATCTCTTGGCCACTCTTGCTTTTGCTTAGACTTTGAAGCCTTTGTCAATTACAGGTGAGCCAGTGAAAGCAGAAACCGTTGGTGTAAAGGCATAAAACCCCATCACACAGTGTTTGGCCTCCGAAAGGCTCTGAGGGAAGAAAGGTGAATTGATCAGCACAGACTCCCTGCTGGAGTCTGTTAAAGAGGGTATCGCCGAAACTCATGAATGCTGCTACAAATGAGCTGATGTGCCCGGATACACTCACTCCTCGGATCCTACTGAAATCCACCCTGACAATCTGTTTCTGCAGCTGGCGATGGCGACATAAATGCTGGCTATCAGGCTTTTCCAGATTGCTTTCAATACTCCAAATGCCAAACCGTCAGAGTTTTAAAAATTACTTACGATTCGCCAAATACCACACCATCAGGGCATGGAGACTAGGAGAATGCCAGTTATAAGATATTTTTGCATGTGCTTTTTTTTTTTTTTGCCTTGTGGTTTTCGGTGGGTATACTGGTGGTCTTATTTGTGTGTGTGAGAGAGAGAAATTGTGCTAGAGGAGAAGTGGACACAGCCTTAACCATGGCATCACCTAGAGGCTCGAAACCCTGAGACTGTAAGGTTGTGTTTGGAGTGGTTCCACAGCATCACCTTTGGGTAGCGGGCCAGCTTTCCAGTTACACTGGTAGTTGTGTGGGTGATTGGTGGGGGCAACTTCGGAGCCCTCGCTTAAGAAAAGTATAAACCCTGGCAGGACAGATTTTGTTTCACTCAGATATGTAACTACAATGATAATGCAGGCTGTGTTTTCATAGGAATAAACACTGGATAAATTAGGATTCGATTTGGCTGTGTGAGACCCAAACCCCAGCATACCAGTACCTTGCACAAGATGGAGGTGTATTTCTCTCTTACATAAACAAAAGGAGGACGTGGGCAGTGCAGAATGTATAGTAGCTCCATGAGGTCATTGGGAATCTCTTTCCGGTTCAAGGCTCTACCATCCCCAAGGTTGGCCTGTGTCTTCATGGTTCAAGTTGGTGGCTAGAGAGTCAGCCGTCATATTGAAATGGAGGAAGGAGAAGAAAGGTATGTCCTCCCCTCAGAAGAGCACATCACAGAAGTTGCAAACATTTCCATTTTCATATCATGGCCAGACCTTAGCCAGACAGCCATGCCTAACTGCAAAAGATGCTGGGAAATGTAGTCTTTGTTGCAAGCACCATAAGCTCAGCTAAAAATTAGGGGTTCTGGTACCAAGAAAGAAAGGAGAGAATGGGTGTTGGGTGCCTGCCACAGACACTGAACCCAGCCAAGAACATCAGAGAAGGCCTCCTGAAGGAAGTGATGTCTGAGCTCAGAATGAAATATTAGGAACCTGTCCGGATGAAAGGGGTGTAGGAGAGGAGGAAGGAAAGAGTACTTCAAGGGAGGGGGCAGCACATGTGAGGCCATAAGGGAGAGGAAGCAGACGTGTTGGAGGAATTGACAGGTGCCCGTCTGGCTGAATTATAGAGTGGGGGCAGGAGGATTCCCTCCCTAGACAGGGCTCAGGCCAGTTCTCAATGTCCAGTGATGTTCTCGGGGGCCTGGCGCTCTTTCTCCCTTGTCTCTTGTTTTATCCGATTCTCCAAGTTTAAAGTGAGTGGCCATTCCCTCCAGGAATGGGAAGAACAGGTAGAACAGCCATATCCTTGTTAAGAAGGCTCCCTACTTTTTTCTTAGAATAGGAGAATGGACATTTTGTTTTGTTTTGTTTTCAACCAGAAGGAAAAACAAAGCATCTGCAGTGGACTTTTTGGAGAGGGTCCAGGGTGGGTAGGGGGTGGAGGGAGAGCATCACCATCTCCCCCCTGTACCTGGGAGATACCCTCTTTCCATTACTATGGCGACCTTTATAGGTGGGAATCTGTGAACTGGGAGACTGGGGGTCACCTGGAGATGCAAAGGCACCTCCAAGTCAACTTGGCCAAGACTGACTCATGCTCTTACCTACAATGCATTCCTCTTCCAGTGTTCCCTGTCTCCTGAATGCACCGCCACCCCTCCCAATGCTCGAATGAGAAGACCAAGGGCTTGCTGAGCATCTCCCACTCCCTCGTGAGGTACCCCTCATACCTCTAGTGATTGTACCTCCTCGGTAGCTCTCACATCTGCCTCCTCTGTGCCATCTCCACGGTCCCCAAGCTACTACTGTCTCTCCTGTCTCAAGGCAGTGGTTGTCAGTCCAGCTGCCTTGCACCCACTCAGACCCCTCCACTGGTCTGATCATGCCACAGCCTCTTTTCCCAGCACCAGATGATTGTGATCCCCCTCCCTCAGCACTTACAACCCCATAGGGACTTTCTTTCTGTGCTAGTACAGTCCTGAGCTGTTAGGTCCATACTTCTGCTTCATCAGGCGTCATTCTGCCTCCAATCCAGCCACTCTGGGCAACTTTCAGCTCCGCCAACACTCTGCACTCCCTTGACTCAGGGCTCTCCTCTAGGCTGCAATGCTCCTCGCTTCTCCCCGTGAGTGCTGGTCATCTTTCTGCTCTCAGCTCCCACCGCTGTCCGGGGGAGGTTGTTCGGAGACTCTCAGCCGGCTAGGAATCCTCCTCGCACACGTTTCCTGTGGTTCTTTCCTTTAGTGCACATGCTGCCTTGCAAATTCACGGTCGCTGATTAACGTCTCCCTGGCTGGGTCACCCATGGGGTCCACAGGTTCCCCGTGCTCTGTAGAGAACCAGAAGCACAAGCATACTCTCAGGACAAGGAGAGCAGGACTCATTACTGTGCTCGGTGCTACTGGTCAAGTATAATGTGATCAAGTATCCGGTTCCTTTTATTACAAAACCCTAAAATCGGGGTTTTCCTTTTTCCTTAAGGAGTTTCTTATGTCATGATTTGTATCCATAATGAAAAATGGAAATACTTGGGAGGCACTAGTGAGAATTGAATATTTGAAAGACAGAGATGGACCTCAAAAACCTAAAGAAGTCTGCTGCTTTTAAGAAAGACACATCTCTGGGGCGCCTGGGTGGCTCAGTCGTTAAGCGTCTGCCTTCGGCTCAGGTCATGATCCCAGGGTCCTGGGATCGAGCCCCGCATTGGGCTCCCTGCTCAGCGGGAAGCCTGCTTCTCCCTCTCCCACTCCCCCTGCTTCTGTTCCCTCTCTCACTGTCAATCTCTCTGTCAAATAAATAAATAAAATCTTCAAAAAAAAAAAAAAAAAAGACACGTCTCCACCCCTAATTCTAGCCACACAACGAAGGCTTCTGTGCTGGGTCTCGTGGGCCAATGGAGCACTATTCTCAGGGGTGGGTCCAGGTATCAGGGCCCCATGTTCCTCTGGCAGGTCTCTGGCCTCCAGTTTTGTCTTTAAGGTCTGTGATGTCAAATGTAACAAAGGAATTTTAGTCAGTGCTCCAGCTACACTGGTTTCTTTCTGCTCCTTGAACATGCAGATCTCACACCTAGCACAGGGCCTTTGCACATTCTCTTCCCTCTGCCAGGAATGCCCTCTTCTAGACCTTTGCTTCTTTTTTTTTTTTTTTAAGATTTTATTTATTTGACAGAGAGAGACACAGCGAGAGAGGGGAACACAAGCAGGGGGAGTGGGAGAGGGAGAAACAGGCTCCTGGCTGAGCAGGGAGCCCGATGCGGGGCTCGATCCCAGGATCTCGGGATCATGACCTGAGCTGAAGGCAGATGCTTAATGACTGAGCCACCCAGGCACCCCTAGACCTTTGCTTCTTTTGATCCCTCAAGACTTTGCAAAATTGTCACTTCCTCAGAGAGGTCTTCCCTGACCACCCAATCTAAATGAGCCGCCCTGCCTCCTGCATACCCTGCCCTCATTAATTTAGAGATAGATTCATTTCCTTCCTTGCTCATTGTCTGTGTCTCCCACTAGAATATAAGCTCTCTGAGGGCAAAGAGCTTGTCTAGAACAGCCTTGCAATATGGCAGGAGTTCCATAGATGTATGTTGGATGAATGAATGAGTAGGTCAGCCTGCCAAGGACAGGGTGGAAATGGCGTTTGTGAGGGTGTGAAGTATGCAACTGTATGCCTCTTTCCTCCTAGGATGACTGCTACTTCATTCTGTCCATCCCTGGTTTCTAAAAAGTTCAGAATAAAGTGTCTTCCACACACAAGGAGAGAAGAAGCCCTCTCAAGGGGTCTTGGGACCAGCCCCTTCCTCCCGCATGACCTCTTTCCAGAGGAAATTCCAGTTATCCCATTTTGCTCCCATAGTCAGACTTTACTTTTCTGGGCTCATCTGGACATCTCTCAGAAGACAGGAACCTGTGTACACATCTAGTTACCCAGATCATATCTACCTTAGAGCATCTCCTAGGGCAGCCAGCCTGGGATAGTCGCCAAGGGGCCCCTGGAGCACCTGCAGCCACCTGCTCCTCTCATGTGCTTGGTAACAAATTTCACTCCTTAGATTCTCACAAACTTGACCCATGGGGAGGTAAAAGTCAATGTCCAGAGACCCCTGGAAAGGGAGGGTAGAACTGTGGAACCACTGGACACAGGGATATTCGTGAGCCTGAGAGGTGGGAAACAATGCTACAGCATGTTTATCTTCACTGAAAAATTGAGAATGAACTTTCCAAGTCAAGAATGATCAACGCTCACATCTCCCTGCAGGGCATCCCCACATTCCTAGCTCAAGGATAAAGTATAGTACCTGAAGAAGCATGGCTTTGTACCAGTTATCTCATTGAACTGGCATTCTGCTTTAGAGATAGGCGTTATCATCTCCCACTTGATAAAGGGGGTGAGGAATGCGAAGTGAATTTCTCCAATTCACATCGTTTGCAAGTGGTCAGGGCTATAATGTAGGTACTAACCACTATGTTGTTTGGCACACCAGTTTATTTTTTTAATTTTTTTAAAAAGATTTTATTTATTTGACAGAGACACAGGGAGAGAGGGAACACAAGCAGGGGGAGTGGGAGGGGAAAACAGGCTTCCCACGGAGCAGGGAGCCCAATGCGGAGCTGGATCCCAGGACCCTGGGATCTTGACCTGAGCAGAAGGCAGATGCTTAACAACTGAGCCACCCAGGTGCCCCTGGCACACCAATTTAAACCAATCACCTACACTACCTTTTTTTTTTTTTCCAAAAACAGCCTTATTGAGGCATAATTTACATACGGTAAAACCCGCTGACGCTAAGTAGGTAATGCAGTGATTTTAGTACACTTGTAGAGTTGGGTAACTATCACCACAATCCAGTTTTAGAACCTTTCCACTACCCCAAAATGTTTCCTCATGCCCATTTGCAGTTAATCCCCACTCCTACCCTCAGTCCTAGGCAACTGCTGATCTATTTTCTGCCTCTATAAATGAAAGCATCCTGCATTATCTTTCCTCTTGTGAAAAGTTGCATTTTGTTTTGTGAAGACTTTAGCTCAGTCCTCAACATTCAGTTCCCAGGTTCTGGAGAACAGAAGACTGAAGTTATACCTCCACTTCTGCAAGAGGCCTGGAGGGAAATTTGTTTGTTTGTGAGTTCACCATTCCCGGCTTCTGAGGACACAGACCTGGGCATGGCCAGTCTGGAAGTGAAGAATCAAGGTCAGGGATTTTTCTGTTCTTTTACTTCTTAAAACGTGAAATATTTCATCTTAATTCATGGGCTTCTAGTCCAAATAGTTGCAGGAAGGACTCCATTTTTCTTTTCTTTTTTTTTTTTTTTAGATTTGTTTATTTATTTGAGAGAGCGAGAGAGCGAGCGAGCATGAGAATGAGCAGGGGGCGGGGGTAGAGGGAGAGAAAGAATCCTCAAGCAGACTCCCACTGAGCCCAGAGCCCGTTGCAGGGCTCCATCCCAAGACCCTGAGATCATGACGTGAGCTGAAATCAAGAGTCGGCTGCTTAACCAACTGTGCCAGTCAGGCTTCCCAGAAGGACTTTAATTTAATTAATTAATTAATTAATTAATTTTCATCCTTGTGACTTATTGGAATGGTTCCATTTTAAGAAAAATACAGAGAACAAAATAAAGCCCTACAAATCTAATTGAAAAAATGTAATCCAAAGGGCCAACCTAAAGCCCCATCAGCCTACTCCTATCCAGTGAGGAAGGTCCTCCCTGAAACGGGAAGTGAGGAAGACAATAGCAAAAGGGTCAACTCCTTTTCACTCCTGCCCTCAAATACCGCCCATTATGGCCGTTCAAGGCTTGGAACTCTCACTTCGGCCCCGGACCTGGGAACAGTGAGTTGATGCTCCTGCCCCTGGCCTCTCCATGACCGCTGAGACACCTTTCTCCGCGACGTAGGCTAAAGTTACCTCCCCGAGGTAAAGAGACAAACGAGGGAGCTGAACCCCATCTTTCCTCCCGACCATCACTCCTGTTCCTCTGAGTGAAATCCCACCCAGAGAGATAACAAAGCCTCTATTTCATGACCATGTGGTCCATTCCAGCCCCCTCACACTTCTTTCTCTTCTTACCCGGATTAAATTATCCCCGCAGGTGGAAAGGCTCAGGTAGAGGCCCCAGGGCAAGGTGAGGCTCTCCCACAGGTCAGATCTCGCTCAGGGGCTGTCTTCACCAAGGGAAATCTGAAAACAAGCCAGTTTGGGGGCACCTGGCGGGCTCCGTGCCTAATGCTTACTCTTGATCTTGGGGTTGTGAGTTCGAGCCCCACGCTGGGGGGAGAGTTTACTTAAAAAATTAAATAAATAATGAGTTAGTGTTTAAAAAAAAAAAGAATGAGTCAGTTTTAAGTTTTACTCACAAATTCCTCTGGTGCAAAGGCTGGGGGGAGGGGGAGACACAGACTAGAAGCCTAACAACAGCAGCAATAACAATAATCATAACTCACGTTTATTAAGCATGAGCTATATGCCATGCTCTGTGTGCTTTATCTGTTTTTTTTTTCTCATATAATGCTCAAAATAACTCTGTAAGATTTTTTTTTTTAAAGATTTTATTTAGTCATTTGACAGAGAGAGACACAGCGAGAGAGGGAACACAGCAGGGGGGGTGGGAGAGGGAGAAGCAGGCTTCCTGCCGAGCAGGGAGCCCGATGCGGGTCTCGATCCCAGGACCCTGGGATCACGACCTGAGCCGAAGGCAGACGCTTAACAACTGAGCCACCCAGGCACCCCAATAACTCTATAAGATTAACAGTATTATTAGCCTCATTTTACAGGAATCTATTTTATTAGCTTATTTATGAGTTTATTATTAGTACAGATATTATTAGCAGAGGAATTACACAGAATTATTTTCATTATTAAATTGGTAATGCAGGCTTTTTATTGTAATTGTTTTATTAGCACAGATATTATCCACGTGTAGAAACTATTAGTAAAGAAAATAGTATCAGTACCACTATTACATGCAGAAATTATTTCTGCAGCACAGAAATTAGTACGAAAGTAGTATCATAATATTATAGTTAGAAATTATTAGTACAGAAATTAGTATCAGGACAATTATTGTAGTACGGAAATTAATTATTATTATGGTTCAGAAACTACGAGTACAGTGGAGGGTGCCTGGGTGGCTCAGTGGGTTAAGCGTCTGCCTTCGGCTCAGGTCAGGATCCCAGGGTCCTAGGATCAAGTACCGCATCGGGCTCCCTGCTGGGTGGGGAGCCTCCCTCTCCCTCTCCCTCTGCGCTCCCCCTGCTTGTGCTCGCTCTCTGTATCAAATAAAGAAAATCTTAAAAAAAAATTACGAGTACAAACATGATACCCATACTATTATTATGCTATAGAGATCATTAGTATGGAAAATAGCATCAGTAATATTACTATTGGTCCCATTGTTCAGAAATGAGGTTAGGCAGAAAGAGGTTAGGCAAACTTCCCTAAGCTGACCTAGTTAGCAGTTGGCCTAGTTGAGTTCACTCAGTTCTTAACCTTGAGATCCTCACTCTACCCACCTCAGCTTCCCCCCAGGGCAGCAGGGAGGGTGAGGAGGAACCGGGAGAAACAATCAAAGTGGCCAGAGAAGAAAGAGCTCCAGGCACATTCTTGTGACTGGAAGTAGCAGGGAAATGGGTAACTAATTCACCTGGAAAATGGTCCCATATCCTGTGTTCAGAGGAAAGAAATAAATTTAAAACCTAGGAGTGAGTGGGGCGCCTGGGTGGCTCAGTCGTTAAGCGCCTGCCTTCGGCTCAGGTTCAGATCCCAGCGTTGTGGGATCGAGCCCCGCATCGAGCCCCGCATCGAGCCCCGCATCGAGCCCCGCATCGAGCCCCGCATCGGGCTCCCCGCTCAGCGGGAGGCCTGCCTCTCCCTCTTCCACTCCCCCTGCTTGTGTTCCTCTCTCACTGTGTCTCTCTCTGTCAAATAAATAAATAAAATCTTTTAAAAAACCCAAAACCTAGGAGTGAGGGGCCCCTGGCTGGCTCAGTTGGTAGAGCAGGCAACTCTTGATCTCAGTGTTGGGAGTTCAAGCCCCACCTTAAGGGGGGGTGGGCAATGCTGCATTTAAACTCAAGCAACAGATATTTCTTGAGTGTGGATGTTACACTTCATTTTATTTTACAATGATATTTTACAGCATATTCATACAAATATTTATATTCAATTCATACATATTCATTTTGCTTTTGACAGTTATGTGAATTATATTAGCTTTACAGTTACTTTATTCTTGGGTTTTGCTGAATGAATGAACTCAGATCTCAGTCCACCCAGGTCAGGGAGGAGTGTGGACAGAGCACAGGCTGAGATTTGCTTTGGGCACAGTCGCTGGGACTGCAGGGAGGTTCTTTCCATGTGAGGCTGTGGGGTGCCCAGAGCTGGATTCCAAGAACTGGAAGGAGAAACAGGATGGACCTCGATTCACAACAGCAACAAAGTGTCACGTGTGCATCTTCCAGCAGAGACCAGTGGGGTTCCCACCAAAAAAAGTATGCAAACAATTCAGCTGGGAGCACAACCGCAGAAGATTACTCAGAGTATTAATTAGAGTTTCTACAGCTGTCCTCAAACTCAACAGACTCAACACAACTGCACCACTTCGGAGGAGGACTTCAACTACGCCATGTTGGCCTCACGAGGTACTAATTGATGGGCGTTCTTTCCTGCTTACCTTTTTTTTAAAAAGTAGCTCCAGGCCCAACGTGGGGCTTGAACTCACGATCCCAAGATCAAGCAGCTCAGGCTCCACTGCCTCAGCCAGCCAGGAGCCCTTTCTAGCTTCTCTCTTAACTCAGGCAAAAGACCCCTCAGGCAAAGCATCCCTTGAGGGGAACCAAAACTACCCCCTCGAGCCGATAGGACTGCCCTGAGCCAGCCTGTGATTGACCCCGAGATGAGGCTCCACCTGACCTGTACTGCCCACTGCACGTACCCACCAGCCTCTGTCCCACTCTCTCCTTACATAAGCCTGCAAGTGTCTTCGGAACTTTGAAGGTCTTCGAGATGCTAGTCCGCTGTCCTCCTGGTGCTGGCCTCGGTGAAATAAATTCCTTTCTGGTTTCGCCACCGCTCATCTCTCTGCCTCTGGATTTTGTCGCATCTGCTTGGGACCCCCGGAGCCAGGTGCTCTTGTGCTACAATTTTGCCTTCAGCACAGGGGACAGACACGGTGGAGCTCAAGTTGCTCCCCTCTATCCCTCACAGAGGGGAGATCACCTCCCCCCCACCAGAGGAATACAGTGCTTTGTGTTTTTCCTAGGTGAAAGGGAAGCTGTTTCTTCCAGTCTGAATTCAGGTTCCCATCCCTGAGGCTGGTTCCCAGAACAATCAAGAGACAGTTCCAAAGACACAGTGTTAAGGGCTACCCTTCCCTGAACTTTCTCTGCTGCCACCTGCCCCACAGTGGCCCGGCAGGGGGGTCTCTGGGCATCCAAGGGGTGCCCTCAGCAGAATCACCTGGGGCCTTTCTGTACTTTCCTCTGTTGGCATTAAAATTAGCCTTGAACCTGTTGATAAGGTCCTTCCCTGAGCCCTTTGCAGAGAGAAAAACCAATCAAAAATTTAAAAGTGAGAAAAACCAACTAAACACGCTTACCCTGTGTTTAAACCATATTACCTTGGGTCAGGTCAGACTCAAACCAAGAGAGAGCAACCGGAAAGAGTGTCACACCCACAGCTCTCCAGGGAGAAACAGCCCGCCTCCCAGGGCCACTCAGGGGAAGCACCGGGGTCAGTCACGAGGCAGAGAGAGAAAGGGGAACGTAGGCAGGCACCTTGTTGTGGTTTCCGCCGGAAGGGACAGGTGAGGTAGGCTAAGAAGTTTAGGATTAGTTAATTTGGATAATGTCAGGTGGCCCGGGGCATAGGGGTTGTCCCTCCTTGTCTGGCCCTTGGCCCTGGGGTGATGAAGGAGGCTAGACAGTGGGTCGGGAGTGTGAGAATCCAGTAAGGGAGGTGGTTGGGGTGTGGACATAATTGTCTGTTCAAGAAGGGGAACCGACTGGCCTCTAGCCAGGCGCTCAAAACTGAGTCAAGATGGCATTTTAAAGACCTCTGTTACAACTCGTGAACCTGGGAATGAATAGGTCATTTCTTAGGGGGCATAAATGTGGGAACAGATAAAAGTCTCTCCACTGAAGCCTAAATTGGCAGAGTTCTAAGCCATTGCTAGCTGTCCTTTATTTGCATGCAAGAGTTCCTGCTGAAGGGGCACCTGGGTGGCTCAGTCGGTTAAGCATCTGCCTTCAGCTTAGCTCATAATCCCAGGGTCCTGGGATTGAGTCCCTGCTCAGCGGGGAGCCTGCTTCTCCCTCTCCCTCTGCTGCTCCCCATGCTTATGTGCACTCTCCCTCTCTCTCTCTCTCTCTCTCTCAAAAGAATAAAATCTTAAAAAAAAAAAAAATTGTTCTGTTTAAGCCATCGGTAGGCGGTTATCTCCATTCACCAAGAAATGGCCTGCAAACAACTTCTTTCCAGGTGTTTCTATTACAGAGAGAAGGGAGAGATGGGGGTCAACACTTGTAAGGCTCTGACAGGTAGAAAAATGGCTTTCCCAAAGATGTCCATCCTGACCCTGGACCTTGTGACTGTGTTACCTCACATGGCAAAGGGGGGTCACAGGTGCAGATGCAATTAAGTTTGCCAAACAGGTGATCATGAGAGGGGGCCCATCTAATCACAGGAGTCCTTAGAGGTGGCAGAGGAAGGCAGAGAGGATCAGAGAGATGCCTTCTGAATAGGACTTGACCCACTGTTGCTGGCTTTGCAGAGGGAGGAAGGCGCCACATGCCCCAGACTGCAGGCAGTCTCTAAAAGCTGGAGAAGAAAAGGAAAAGGAGCCTTTTCTGGGGCCTCCAAAGAGAAACACAGTCCTGCCAACACCTTCCTTTTTGCCCCGTGAGACCAATATTGGACCCCTGAACCACAGAACTGTAAGGTAATAAAATTGTGCCATTATAAGCCACCAAATTCATGGTGCTTGCTTTATGGCAGCAGTAGTAATAGTTGGAGAGACGGAGGAGTGTTTAGCTGTCCTGGAGTGGCAGCTTGTCCCCATCAGAACCTCTCTCGTATCTCTTGTACTAAACACATTCAATGCCAAAGATTTGGGTTTTTTTTTTAAAGTTTATTTATTTGAGAAAAAGAGAGAGAGGGGGAGTGCGTGAGCGCAAGTGGGGAGAGGGGAAAAGGGAGAGGGAGAGAGAATCTCAAGCAGACTCCCCGCTGAGTGCAGAGTCCAACACGAGGCTCGATCCCGCAACCCTGAGATCTTGACCTGAGCAGGAATCAAGAGTCAGACTCTTAACCGACTGAGCCCCCAGGCACCCCCCAAAGATTTGTCTTTAAGCAGAAATGGATTTACAAAGGGACATTCAGAAGCTTATAGAATCTGGGAGGCCCACAGACCAGGCTCTGGAGCACGCAGCCAGCAACACTGCCCGGCTATACCATGTGGCTGCTTTTCTGAGACATTAAAAAAAAAAACACACTACTTATTTACTTTGAAAAAGAGAGGAAAAGGAAAAACAGCAATAATGTGTGCTTTAAGAAGCAGGCCGCAGGGGCTCAGTTCTACTGGGGATGGTCTGGGAAATAGTACAAGCTCCGCAGTTGTCTCACCAGAGGATGGGGGACTGGGGCTCTTTTTCCCAATGCTTCCTGTCCCCTTAGATTGAGGCTTATTCCTGAGGGAGTCAACTGCCTCAGTTCCATGTTGTGCCTAGGCGACAGGGTGTAGCAAATTCCTTTGTGCCACACAAAGCCCTCTGGCTGGGAAGCAGAGAGACACATCATTTGAGGTGTAAAGTCTTCAGCATGGCAGAATCTGTGACCCACAGCTGTGGGCAGACTCAAACCTGAGCCGAGGGGATGTGGCATGGGGCATCTACGTCATCTGCTACAATCCCTTCTAGGACTTACAGCCAGCATCTTGCCACCCCTGGCCATCCCTCTCTCTCTCTCTCTCTCCATACACCCGTATACACAACAAATACATAGCACATATCATGTGCAGGACACTGCATCTGTTAAGTCCTTGAGTCTTCATGATGACCCTGCTGGGTACATTTCAAATAGCTGTAGTGCTTAGAAGATATTGGAATCATTCCAAAGTGTGTTGGAACAGTTGAATTTTACAATATTATTGTGCCAGCAGTCATATCTTTTCCAACTATTTGCACATCTGGTGAAAAATTTTAGATAACAACTTTAAAATGTACATGTGGGTGTGTAGTTTTCCAAAATTCTTTCTGCAGGTAAGCAGCTAAAGAGTTTGGAAACCACTGTCCTAGACTTCTGCAGATGTGTCTCTCCCAGGTGATGTGCTCAGAATCATTCAAGAGACTGATGAGGGGTGGGGGAGTGTGTGATGAAGCCGGGGATCTTCCATCGTTACCCGGTAAGAATCCTGGGAAACAACTTAAAGGAAAATCAAAAGGAGAAACTCTATAGATAGAAAATGAGTTCAGCTCGCTGAAGGTCCAGATGGATGGGTGCTGAATAACCAGGCTGTGCTCTCCAGCATCCCGATTTGCTCCTTCCCAGAGTCTGGGGATGCTGAGTCAGTGGCTTGAATACCATCCCAACCTGTCATCTCCCCTTTTATATTAACTTGATTTTCTTCATGTTGCCTTCTCAAGCTCTAAGTGTTAAACTTACTCTATGATTAATATAGCCATGTAAAAAAAAAAAAAAGACAAAATGTTCATTCTATTTTACCAGGAATGCATCAAGCAAGCGGACACTTTTTTCCTCATCTAGGGAACCAACCGAACGTCATAGCTGACAGACTAGCTGCAGAGGTGAAGCAATGAACAGTGGCAGCAGGCAATCTATCGTATGGAGAAAAGAGATGCCTTGGACGTAATTTATCTGAACTGATTTTTACAACCCATCAAAATCATTAGCTGTGACCCTACCTTTCCCCTTTCAGAAAACGATACTCTCAAATTTTCAGCGGTAAGCAGGTTGGTTTTATGATCTTTCTGGAGTCTCTTCTAATGGTGAGTTACGAAAGCTTAGAAGAGCTTAGGGGATGTTGGAATTATTTCAACCAAAGTTGCAAAAGTGCTTGTCAAGGCTGGTACAATGTTCACTTCTGTTCATGTACTCACCTCCAAATGTTGTTCATGTGAATACTAGGCATGGTAGGAAAACCCTTATTGGACAATTTTTCTTGCTCTGATTCCTTTTTCAAACCTGGTAACATAGGAGTAAGAGGTTGGTCTTTGAAACCAGTCAGGCATGAGTTTAGAGGCTCCATCACTTATTAGCTGTGAAGCCAGGCTCATGCACAGTGGGGGTGATGTTTCCTTCTCACAGGACTGCTGTGAGGAACCAACAAGGCCATGTGAGCAAAGAACAGAACAAGGCCACGTGTTCCCGAACACTGGCATGTACAATAGATGGTGGCCAGGATTACTGTGATTATCATTATCCTTTTGATCTGAAATTTGGTTTTGGAATAGACTGTAGGGAGAATCTTATGCAGAAGACTGATACAAATCTTTCGTGTTTGTTTGTTTGGTTTTTTGTTTTTAGATTTATTTGAGAGAGAGAGAGAGTGCTTGTGAGTTGGGGGAGGGATAGAGGGAGAGAGAGAATCCCAAGCAGACTCCCGGCTGAGGTGGAGCCCAACGCGGGGCTTGATCCCAGGGCCCTGAGATCATGACCTGAGCTGAAACCAAGAGACGGCCCCTTAACCAACCAAGCCACCCATGGTTTTACCTTCACTTGTAAAATTGGAAGCTGATACTCTGATTTTTAAATCAGTGAAATCCTTTTCATCAGTTTGATTAACTCTTCAGATGATCAAACCTTTACAGACACCATCTTATTTCATTCTCTTACAAATCTGTCAGTCAACCAGAGCAAATACTATTATTCCTCTTCCCTTTTAGGGAAGTGGACAGTAAGATTAAGAGATATTAAGTGATTCTCACCTTTATGCCCTTGCTCTCCCTTTTATCTTTCTAGGAACTGCCCCTAATCCCTTTTCCATGTGTTGAAATACCACACATTCACCAGGGCCCATTTTAAGCTTTCCTCTCCTCTTTTCAGAGAAAAAGAACTCATTCTTTTCTGACCTTCTATAGCACTCAAAGTTTCAACCATATAATTTACCAGTTTATTACTGTCTTTCATTTCTTCGCAGTGACTTCCTGTTTGTTTGTTTTTTCTTTTTTTTTTTTTAAGATTTTATTTATTTATTTGAGACAGAGAGAATGAGAGAGAGAGAGCACATGAGAGGGGGGAGGGTCAGAGGGAGAAGCAGGCTCCCCGCCGAGCAGGGAGCCCGATGCGGGACTCGATCCAGGGACTCCAGGATCATGACCTGAGCCGAAGGCAGTTGCTTAACCAACTGAGCCACCCAGGCGCCCCATGTTTGTTTGTTTGTTAAACTCTGCCCAGTAAGACGACAAACCTCTCACGGCCAGGGATCATGCAACTTCAATATATTTTGGGTCTCACTACCCAGACCCCTTTTCTCTTCACACTCCGCAGGGCAGAGCCAGACTCGGAGCTAGTGCCGGGTGTATGCTTGATTGATTCACAGAGAGTTTACCTAGAATGATGGCCTAGAAAATCCATTGCAGGATAAAATTGGAGACTCACTCCTTAGGGACTGCCATCTAAGAAGGAGGACAAAAATGTTCCTGCTGAGAAATTGAAATGCAGAAAGCAGGGGCGCCTGGGTGGCTCAGTCATTAAGCATCTGCCTTCGGCTCAGGTCATCATCCCGGGGTCCTGGGATCGAGCCCCCACATTGAGCCCCCACATCGGGCTCCCTGGTCGGTGAGAAGCCTGCTTCTCCCTCTCCTGCTCCTCCTGCTTGTGTTCCCTCTCTCGCTGTCTCTCTCTCTCTGTCAAATAAATAAAATCTTTAAAAAAAAAAAAAGAAATGCAAAAAGCAAATATAAGCCCTTTGCCTCTCTGCAGCTTCTAATGCTGATTCTGGCAATCCCCGTCATAGCCCTGTAAGTTTATATGACCAGGACATGCCTTTAGTCACAGAGTCACAGTGTTGGCTAGTCACGCCACTGTGACCATGTGTAGGTGGGGACATCCTTCTGTGGCTTTATGGTGCTCTGCTCTCCTTCCTGCAGTGATGAGAATTCACTTCATATTGTCTAAAAAAAATTAAACAACTCTTAACTGAGGGAAGCTAAATAGCAACTGATATTTTTGGAGGCTCTCTTGAATTAGGACAGCTGAGTTTAATGGAAAAATAAACATGTTTCGTACTGAATATCTGTTGCATATGTTGCAAACTGAGTACCAGCCTAGAGAGAATTTTCCCTTTTGTTTCTTCCTTTTAATCATATTTCTTCCTGGTTGTTTATATGATTTATTTTATAACCAAATAGATATTCCTTATAAATTCCAAATGGCAAGGCATTCCTGGGATTCTTTTAGAACACAAAATTCCAGATTTTTTCCGATGATTCCAATGCTGAGGGTTTCTATCTCCTGAGCCACTCTTTCTTATCCAGTGAAGAACACAAGGAAGGCTCTTTGCCAGGTTCTGGTGCGGTCATGTTCTCTAGGTGAATGCTTCTTTTTCTTTAATATGCATACAGATCTACTAAGGATCTTGTTAAAATGCAGATTCTGTTTCATGGATCTGCTGCCGGACCTGTGAATATGCATTTTAACACAGAAGTGGTGCCGGGGTCCTGGTCCACAGACCGCACTTTGGGTAGCAGTGTTCTAGGGAGAACTGGGGATCAGTGAATGGCAGGCCCCTGAGAGCTTGGCCAAAGTTATTGTGTGGGAGCAGATGTGGTCCCCATCACTGGAGGTCAGAAAGGTCCTTAAGTCCTAGACAGCCCAGCTTTTTTTTAAAGATTTTCATTTATTTTTTGACAGAGAGAGGCAACACAAGCAGGGGGAGTAGGAGAGGGAGAAGCAGCCCTCCCGCTGAGCAGAGAGCCCAATGTGGGCTCCATCCCAGGACCCTGGGATCATGACCTGAGCTGAAGGCAGACGCTAAACGACTGAGCCACCCAGGTGCCTGACAACCCAGCTTTAAAACAAGACAAACTGGGGGACACCTGGATTTCTGAAGGAAAATGGGTAGCTGCTTCTTAGGGGCGTAGTAGGAAACCCCTCCTGGCTGGGAGCTCTACCTGGTACTGCATCCAACTTTCCCCGTTTGCTTGCCTCACGGGATCCTCTCCTGAATTGTTGCTCTTTTGTCTAAAACATCAATCTAAATCCTTGCTTGTAAATGCGCCCTCCTTGGTCTTTGACGCTTGGCTGTATCTGATATTGATTGTTGGCCTATACCTGGAGCTTTTGGTCCTGCCTGGGAAAAAGTATTGACGTCTTTAAGCTCTTTCTCTGGGGAAAGAGTGTCTAAACCAGCAAGCCCTGTCTGTCTGTCTGTCTATCTATCTATCTATCTATCATCTATCTATCTATCTATCTACCTACCTATCTCTGCTTTAACTTCATGTTCGGGCCAGGAAAGGAAAAGAAAGCTTATTGTGGCCATATCTTCATAAACAAATTAAGGTAGAGGCACATAGTATGTGTTCAATGTATACTTTTTTTTTTAAAGGTAAAATTCAAGTAAAATTAAAATTAACCATTGAAAAGTGTACACCTTAGTGGGATTTAGGACATACACACTGTTGTGCAACTACCACCTCTATCTAGTTTCATAAAATATTTAATGCATACCTTTTTTTATTAACATATAATGTATTATTTGTCTTGGAATGCATACCTTTTGAAAGCTGTATGAGAGCAAAGATTATGTGGCTAATTTAAGACATTTCTGTCACTTCTTGAGGTCACTAGGCAATTTACTGACTCTTACAATTGTAAATGTTTTAACTATATGAATATCTTTTCGCTTTGTTTTTTGATTTGCTATTATTCAGTAGTGATAATATCAGCTATTACTTATGGAACGCCTACTATGTGCTGGACACTTCACATGTATTGTCTTCTTTAAGACTCACAACCTAATGAAAAAGGTATTATCAACTTTTGATAGAAAAGAATCCTGAAGCTCAGAGACTTTAATTCACTTGCCCGAGGCCACACAGGTATCAAGTGGCAGAGCTGAGGCTTTTCCAAGCCAGTCTGACTCTAGGACTTGATCTTTTAGTCACAACAAAATAATATCTCATGTGAACACACTCTTATTATTTGTGACAAGTATGAATTATGGAGATAGTTAAACTTTCAGCAAGCATAAAATTGGATACATGCAGACTGAAGATTAAATACTTTGAAACAAGGATTGAGAAGAAGCTAACCAAACAGCAGAAATCTTCACAAAACTGTTCAAATTTAAGGAGTGTTTTTTTTTTTTTTTAAGATTTTATTTATTCATTTGAAAGAGAAAGAGAGAGACAGACAGAGCACAAGCAGGAGAGGCAGAAGCAGAGGGAGAGGGAGAAGCAGACTCCCCATTGAGCTGGGAGCCTGATGCGGGACTCGATCCCAGGACCTGGAGATCATGACCTGAGCCAAAGGCAGATGCTTAACTGACTGAGTCACCCAGGCGCCCCAGAATTAAGTTTTTGCTGGAAATTTTTTCATATAATTTCAGGGACTTGTATTTATTCACCTATTAAGATTTTAAAATCATGATTTATAACTATTACTTCCTTTCTCTTGCATCACTGGTTTCTCTCCCTTTACTGAATCACTACCATCAGAAAGGAAACCTGCTTCGATGTCTTATTTTAAAAACAAAACAACAACAACAAAAAACTAAAAACCTCCACTGACCCCATCTCATGACTTCTTACTACTTTTTTTTTTTTTTTTTTTTGGCTACCGTTTTTCTGCTTCCCTTTGCTGCACAACTCCTGGAAAGCACTGTCTACTATCACTGCTTCTTGTATTCATCTCCCATCTTTTCCTCAACCTGCTCCGATAGAGAGTCTGTCCCCAACACTCCGCTGAAAACAGCCCTCATTGAAGGTCACCAGTGGCTTCCATGTTGCCA